CATGCCAGAACGGAATCCTGGAGTTTGTCGTACTCCTCCACCGGCATTACGTATTTCTCGACTGCAGAAAGGTCCTGAAAGTTGGGACGAGCAGATAGCGGGCGTGTATCGGCAACCTATTCAAACATGGGGCATGATTAATCAGAGACACTGTGTCAGAATTGAGATTTGGGGGGGGGGGGGTGTAGAGTATGAGTTTTTGTTTTCTTTTTCCGCCAGGCAACACAAAACTCAGGATGACAAAGGCTTGGCAAACTACGTAGGACTGCTGCGGGAGGGCGTATCAAAAAATAAAGAGAAAATGGGGCAAATAAAAAAGTACAAGCATAAAATGTTTTTTTTTTAAAGAGTAAAGCAGTATATCGAATAGAAGATTGTGTGCTAACGGAGGGAAAAGGAAAAAGAAAAAAACGCCGATAATGGGAAAGAGTTGACGGAAGCAAGCAGAAGGACCCAGGCATAGAAAAATAGATATCAAAAATAGAGGTCGACAGCTGTCGAGAGGGGGGGGGGGATGTCATACGTGTAATTCAACGTAAGGCTGAAGAGGAAAGCTGGCAATTTGCGTAGTCTCCTCATCGTGGCTCGAGATGGGAATAGGCTGAGGTGCATGCGGTAGACGCAGTGTGAGTTGCTGCGAAGATGGTGGGATTCCCGTAACTGTCTCCAGCTTTGCTTTCAGGATTGAGATGGTCCATGAAGGTGTGATACGGCGTTCAGCAGCAGCATTATCAGATATGACTCTCACTGGAACGTCCGCGGCTGTTACAAAGCTCATTGCTGCTGTTTCGATGATGGCAAAGCTGATGTCTGCTGTCCTTGAGTTTTGTGGGTGTGTACTGAACTGTATTCTGGCTGGTGGTCCTGATGCGTTGCCGATGCTAGTGTTGATGGCCCCGTTTGCTTTGCTCGCTAGCCTGGTTGCTGTTTATGCGTTGTGGTTATTCGTGAGTATGTTCCTCCGCTATAGTTCGTGGTGTTGAACTGCCAATATAACAGGCACAGAGAGTGCTTTGCTTGACAGGACTGAGTGGGGTAAACGATCCGTTACTGGATGGGTACTTGAGGACAACGTTACTAATGATGCATCCTCACGTTGATTGATGGACTCCACAAGCCCCTTACTACAATTAAACATTTATGTATTTCAGTAATACAAATAATGTATACATCTAATGTATCTCCAAACGTGTTTCTACACAGTGTAATGTGTATACTACATGTATTCTCTACGGAGAGTCACGTAATGATTTACCAGAAACTTTCAACGTGGATGAGATTGAGCACTGGTTTGATTCCACCTACTATACTACCTACACACTTAGTTATTTTCCCACGCACAAATTCATTAAGTGACACAACTCATATTCATGCAAGAAGCCCCTTCGCTGAGAAGGTGGAGGATGCCATAGTAGAGTAACTGCGACGGAGAAAGCCAAGTCGGATATCTGTTGACAGATTCCGATATATGGCTGCTGTGACACTACCTTCTGTTTCGCTTGTACATATGTATCAGATCCTGGTGTATCGGTGGGACATCTGTACCCCGGTCCAAGCCTACCGAATGGTAGGTTTCGAGCCGCAGAGCATACTCTTCTTGCAGATCGCTAGGTTGAGTATGTTGATCTCAGATGAAATCACAGAAAAGCAGCAAAAAAGAGAGAAATAAACGCAAGTATGATAATGAGAAAAGAAGAAGAAGGAGGCGGGTACTCAAATCATTAATGAATGCACATGGGACGGCCGGGAAACATCGAAACGTGCTCCATGTATGCACTCCAATACAGTACCAATTAGATTAATAGTATACACCCCTACGACAATGTATACCACACCTAGGAAAAGAAAAAGAAATGCTTTCGTCCGATAATGAGCACACATATTTTACAAACATAACCCGACGTCACACGTGCCCAAGAAGCCTTTTTCGTTTGCAGCATGACAAGGAAATAGAGTGGACCCTTGGTAAATACACATGGTGCTGCTTCTCCAAGGTAACGGCCCGATATGATGGGTGGTCTCCCACCGTTTTGGATCCATATATCTGAAAACTTCCAGAAGCCTCCAGTTAAGGAGTCCAGAATTCCTTTACCTGGTTCTTCCCTGCAGGGCCTAGGCTGATAAATTAAACACATCACACATGTTAATTATAATACATGAATACATGTACATGTATATACAGTACGTATATATAGGTATGTAGGTACCTGGTAAGAACCACAACTCATTGATCAGCTTTTCCCATCAAACAGAACGAAAAAAGTAAAATACCAGCTACGAAGTATTGGTCTAAATACAGCTGTGGATGTAGTTCTAACAGTTCAGAACGTTATACCAGATCAAGGATGTGTTCGATTGATCACAGCTGTGCTGTGCCACCTACTAATGGGTATTCTCTGGTGACTGTCACACCTTACCTGCGTATGTAGCACCAGTTGGGCCATTAACAAGTACGTGCACGGGCCAAACGAGCCCCCTAGAGGGAAGCACAATTGCGTACGAGTCTAGCCACTTCAAGTGTACGCATTGTCCTTCGGTTCATCGCATCTTTTTGGAAAGCCCTACAGTCTTTCTAGATAGAGTTACACCTCAATGGTTCACTTAGAAATGAAACGCCCCCCCCAAACTAGTATTTTCCCAGGATCAGAAGTATAGGCTGTATGATTTTATTATGTACAGTACAGTGATAGTAACTAGTCTGATCTTCAAGACACACTAGAAGTTTAAGGGAAGCTCTTCTAGGCTTAATTTACAACAATACAGCATCCATGTATACAGGTTCCTACAGTAGCGATTTTTATACCTACATGTACTCATGGGAAACCCCTTGTAATATACGTCAGTCAAGCTCTCAATCAACGCCCCTGAGACCTACACGCAATTCGTCTATCATGTACATGTATTGGTGCTAGACAAATTTCCAACCTGAGTGCAGTTTAATAAATTTCAAGTGGCCAAAAGCTCCCCCAAAGAGAATTAACGAGACAACGCCCCCTGGCCTTGACTCGTCAACACACGATAATTAGTCCTGACAAAAGGCTCATATTGAAGAGAGGAGACATCATCCACCAAAAGAATGTGATTCATTGATCTCCCGCACGTATATCGAGTGTTCCAAGGTATCGTAGAAATGAATATCTTGTTCCCGTATCTATATCCAACCCTGTCACAGACTGTTGAATTGATTCCAAAATATCCAACGAGGTAACCCATATTTGCCTGACACCAATAGAATAGAGGGAAAGGGTTTAAAATGCCCCACGCCACCCTCAGCTTGAGCTAGACTTATCCCGCCCACATCCATTCCTTCATAAGTCACCGTGCAGGAAGCGCATCTGCTCTCACCTCATCACCTCCATCTTCCTACACCTCCTTCATTTGTGCTCATCTGAGTGAGAATAACACCATAATCCCCCACACTAGATTTTCTCGACGTCATAAACCGACAAACATTTCCCATCCAACCCGGGTAACACCGTCCCGCTGGCTTCCATCTCATACCTCCTCGCTCCGATGCCGCCCAAGCAGAAAGAGCCTCCAAAACAGAAGGAGCCTATCCACCTTCCTCAAACTTTATCGCAACCACCTCCATCCCCCTCAGCAAAGCGCCCTTTACCCGAAAATTCAACAGCCTCGCCTGCCAAACGCCAAAGCAAGTGGAGTCCCGATGAAGATGCAATTATCATCAATCTTCGAGGGAGTGGCCTGAAGTGGGAAGACATTTCAAAAAAATTGCCTGGAAGGTCTGCAATTTCGTGTCGTCTTCATTATCAGAACTACTTGGAACGCCGATCTGAGTGGGACGAGGAGAGAAAAGACCGGCTGGCTCGTCTGTATGAAAGGTAAATTTCACCTAGTTCAAACCCAGGGATCGGCCAAGGTTCATCGGGGATTTAATCTCGGAATGCCTTTCCGTGGTGCGACGTGAGCGACTTTAAAACAACCCGCTGACAATGGGTTTTGTGAGAAATAGATTTAAACAAGAGATGTGGAGCCAGGTTGCGAAGGAAATGAATATCCCCTGGCGAGCAGCTGAAAGTATGCACTGGCAGTTAGGCGAAAAGGAAATGGCTAGGCGTGCTGGTGTTGTACCATTCTCCCAAAGTTCAGTTGCACTCGATGTCCCCCCGAAAAAAGCTAGTCCGCGCCGAAGTCCAACCCCCGAGGGGCCGGATGAAAGATCATCTTCGGGACCTTCTGCGCCTCCAGTGGAAGCCGGTCCCATTTTAGGAAAAGAAGATACTACCAAGTAGATCGACAACCAAACTCTCCGGACCAGATACTAGTCCATGAGTATCGGTAAGCTTTTTCTATAGACAAATTTGTGCGGTATGATAGACCGTTTGTACTCTATGATTTTCTTTCTCTTTTTCTTTTCCTTTTTCTTTATATCATTTATATACGGGCTTGGCCCAACTAGGGAAACGGCGGCAACGGATTGTAAGAGCGAAAATGTGTTCGGTTCTGTTTGTATTTGATTGTATTTTTTCTCCTGTATTTTGCTGTTTTCCCGAATGCCTGTTAAGTTTAGATGTTTGTGACTACTTTAGCTTCGTTTGCTAGGCCTCGGGTTTGCATTGCATATAGTAAACGGATACATTATATCATTAGAATAATGGGACAAGGATTATACACCTACAATAAGAATATCCCGGGACGTCAAATTCGGCTGTGGTGATCGGGAGTGATTCCGGCCCAAATTTAGACATGGTTGATAGGGCTACAGTAATAAACAAGTTTCAAACATGATCTGTGGTGTAGAACGCATTGACGGCGAGTGAGACGGGTCGTTCTGTTGTGATTCCAAACCAGATGCCTGATACGCAGGCATCCCACTTGGTTATCACTCACTGGATGTATGCTGCAGGCCGTTGCTCTGCAAACACCCCCATTCTGTGATGACTGGTTCAAGACAATGTCTTTCCAAACCCCGTCCAGCCAAAGTGCAAAGGTGAGCAATATCTTTGATTCTCATCCACACACACACATATACATCCCGTTTACCTGTGCGGAGGGGCACAGATAGCCCACCAATTATCCTTCTCATAACCAGATTCCAGTACTATGCCTCCAGCAGCCACTATATCTTGCACCAACTCCCCTTCCTTATAGAGATGGTAGTATCTTTGGTACGTGACTACTTTGTCATCCTTGCTCAGCTTACCGCTCCCACCTTTCACACCTGAATAACCCTCGGACGTTTGCCATGGGACCATGACATCCTGTGGATCACCTTCTTTCCAGCCTCTCTTTGAATTCGGCTGCTCCAAGGCCCAGACATAGATAAGCGCTTTCCCGCCATTAGTCTCGCCATTGGCAGATGGCTTTAGCGTAGCAAGGATGCTTCGTATTGAAGCGACTCTTCGCGCTGTGGTCGAAAAATGGTGAATAACAGCGATGCTAATTGCAAAGTCAAATCGGGAGTCTGGGTGGGGCAGCTCTAAAGTATCTGCTATAAAGGAATCCTGGGTTTTTAGGTCGTGGGCTATTCGTACAAGGGCAGTTGACCTACACGTAACAATCAATTTATGCAAATTTGTACAATTGAAAAAAAAAAAAAAATGAACCCCAAATGAATTGAACCCGTGACTGACCTGTCTGACCCGATCATGAATACATTCTCATTGACTGTTAGATACTTTCCGTTGCCGCACCCTAAATCTAATCCTATCGAGCCAATAGGAAGGCCCTTTAGAAAACCTTCAACTATTGGCCATGGCTAAAGTATATTCAGTCAGTAAAGCCTCATTAAGAGTCCAGTCCGTATTGGTCGAGAATACGTAATTGATAGTAAAGAATATGTACCTTAAAACGTGTTGCAGAGAAATGGGAGGCGATGAGTTCATAGACACGATGCACGTGTTCAGCCTCGTAATTTTGGGGATTGTTGATATCCATCCGGTAGAGATGCGTCTTGTGGCGTGGTGGTTATTCGGTATCTCGAATCTTGGGGGATGGTTCCGAGGTTGCTTCGTGGGGGACACAAGTCGATCATTCGGTTACTACGCTCTGGTTGGGGGAGTCGAGTTTGGTGTGGGCCCTGGTTGGCTCCCCGCAGTCTTGGCATAGATTGGCGACATGTTACCCTGACCAACCCTTCTCGCGAATCTTGGTGCGGATCATTGGTTAAACTGCACTAGGCTTAAGCTCTAGATTCGATCTTCTACTACTATCATTTTACAATCTACAGATTTACTACGACCTTCTTCATCATTCTCCATCATGATTTCTGCAAATGATAATAATCATACTAACTTTCATGAGAACAGTTAACTTTAGATAGTAAAGCTCGATTCGCGGTTAGTACTCATGCTCATCACGAAACCATACAGCTTGGTGAAACCGTGACTCAGCAAGCCCTCAGTTCAGGATGAAAGCTGAGGTTAAGAGCAATGTTATATCTATATCCAGTTATCAGAGTAGGCTTGCCGTTTTTTGCTGCCAATGGGGGTTGGATCATGTTTTTCCTTGCGGAGCCCGAATATAACAGGCATTCGAATCGAAACAGACAACCAGGGTAAGCAAACTTGATTTATTGAATAACAGGCCCCTTTAAATTCCCCATGGCTAACTAGAATCCAGGGCACGCTTTGTAAACATAATTCCACAAGGACTGGTAAAGCGGGATGAACGACCCGTTATCGGTATATCCCAATTCCCAAGATACCCTTACTGATATCTCAAAAGATCATGTTCTACAGGACTCTAATCATTATCTTTTATGGTAGTCCATGCCCGAATTTAATCCGATGACTCAATCACCTGACTACTCTCATGTCATCCCAGCTATTTAATTGGAACGGGAATTTCTCATCAGTATTAAATTTAGTCACATGGACACGACTAAAATAGGATACAACTACAATAATTGGCTCGGTTTTAATGGATTCTCTTGTGCTTCGGATCCGTAGCGATCATCGAGAGATTTTCAGATGCCCTCAAAGAAGCTAAAGAACTACACCCCTGGTAATTCCAACCTATCAGAATTAGCACACGGAAGATCAAAGGGGGCACATCTCGGATGACACGGCTTTGGAATATTTGGTCGCCTAGATGAACCCAGCGTCTAGCTATCAGCCGATACTGAAACTGGGCGATTGTTGGGGATTCAGTACATGCCTCAAGAGAAAAAATAATTTCTATTAAAGCAGACTTTGCAGCGATCACAGGTGCTCAGGGATGAACTTACAGATCTCCGGCAAGAAGATGGCTGAGTGTGTAATATAACGAACACCCTCATCCATGCCGAGGAAATCTCTGACACCTGCCGAAGTGCAGCAGTGGGGGGGGGGGGGGGGTCATACCATGAAAATCACCCTTGATAGATACACCAAAAAAGCAAATTTTCCTGCTATGACGTTTGTCCAGGCACTAATGTATCACATAACAAGCATATTGCTAGAAATAAGGCTGTCAAACCAACTGCCAAGTGATCACCAATGTTAGGGTTGCCGATATGTAAGTACTGTCGTTCACGGGGTATTGGCGGATACTGGGTGATGGCGGACAGGGCAAAAAAGAGACAGCCAAGCCAACTTTTACCTGCAATTCGCCAATACCCAGTATCCGCCAATACCCCGTGAACGACAGTACATGCAAGTCAGCCAGGTGCAAGGCCCGCCTTCTTTGTTACATCAGCTCTAAGATGCTAATCATATGCTAGATTCCATCAGGACAGGAGCTAAAACCAAGGCTAGCATTCGGCTAAATTCGAAGAGTGAGTCACAGTGCGTCACTCGGAACCACATCTCATGGAATAGATTATTCAAGTACATGCCGAAAACCGACAACCCATGGCCAAACAACCATGACATCAATAATTTTTATGGAAATTTAGAGAAACTCACCTCTTACGACCTCGCTTCAGATTTGCCGATGCTAGCTGTATGTACCTACCTTGTGGCGCTAAAAACTCTGATCCGCTTGCATATAACCCTACATGGTTAGGGTAGCCGTAACACTACATTTTTATCCGTTCCGAAAAGAAACAATTAAGCTGACCAAAAAATCTCTAAGACTCGATACGTGGAAACACAGAAAAAGCAACAGAGTAGGAGAATATCGAAAAATGAAAATAGAGGGTTGAACGTTGCAATAGTCGGTCTTGGCTTGTGTGGGATTGATTGCTTCTCAAAACATATTTCGGTAAAAACCTATTTTTTGGCCATGGTTCAGGGATTTGAAAAACAAATAAAAGGATGAAAACTCGTTTATTTCACTCTTACCCTTATTAGGTATTCCAAATTCCTTAATTATCAATATCGATATTATTGAGCGAATATCATTCTTACTAATCGTTGTTAGTGTACTATTGTGGGTCTGGTGTGCAGTAGTATAGAGGCGTACGCGTGCGATATATTAGTACGAGTACCCAGATTGCAAATATTCAGGTGGCATCCAAGCTAACTATAATATGCGCGTATAGTAAAAGCCGACGTCCCACCCCCCTCTACTCGTCAAAGTTTGGGTTAACCACGATTCGCGCCGATGTAACTCCACACTTCAATCTGCAATCAATCGCGAAATTCGAATATTACAACCTCTCACTGGTAAAGAAATTTGGCATAATTTGGTATTCACGACAATTATCAAAAGAGATTGAGGAATGCAATGGGGCATAGCTCTACACACATAATTCTAATATGTCTACGGGGAGGCATAAGGCAAGGTTTTGATTTAATTGGGATATGGTACGATCAATTTAGGCCATGTGGAGCACATCGGCACGTTGTGCGCACGCGATTTTTTGAATCGCGCAGGGTATATATTGTTTTCGACAGAAATATATTGGTGCTTGTTTACTCTAATTTACCCGAGATCTCGGGTTATAGGATAACATAAAGTAGTTTTAGGGAACCGAGCGACGAACATGTGGGGATGGCGAAATTGACGTAAAACTGGTGGTCCTTTCAACCACTCTATTTTGATGAACCTAATATCCTGTCAAGTCTAGATCTAGCTAGGGCCTTAGGCCCTAGACCAATCGCGGAAGACTGTAGCAACGACCTGCCTATCTGGTATGATCTCCGTATCAGACGTTGAATCTATATCTCTCCAATGCCAGTGATTTGACGTGGAGTTTATTACATATATCTAGATCAGTTATATAAATATGATGCAGTATATAAATTCGGCGCGAATTCCGTTTGTTGTCAGAATCGCAATTAGCTACAGTAAAACCAAATGAAACCACCTTATATTCGATAGCTATAGTACTATGGAATTTAGTAGAAAATCTATTAACCAGGATTTGAGGGGATTAGACACTGCATACGGTTCCCTAGGATACTGTCTATATAACGCGAAGTTTGTTACCCTTTTGGCCGTCAAATTTCATAGTGGGTTCATCTTCCATTTCCGTGCGTATATTAATTTTATATCGAAGGCCAAAAAAATGTAGTTACTTATGAACTATGTACCTGCCAATGTCTCGCAATTTGAGCTAGTGTTGCATGCACCGATGTCCGAGTTCTGCTTTCTGCTATCTCGGTCGTCTATGTGTTTATATATGTAGTTATATGTAGTTACTAGTGAGGAGCGGCCTCCGGCCGCATATAAAATTAAATATCAGTTCGAGGAACCGCCGATATCACAAGAAAAGTATGTAAAGATCCAGAAAACTCACAGCTCTATTTAGTGTTTCGAATTGAACATACAGCTCTATACAATGGTTCGGAATAGAGATCGATTCCTTGCTCGCGTGAAGTGTTAGTTTCAGAAGAGCTCAAGAAGAACCATTGATGGAAAGTATAAAGGTTATAACGTTGGTCAGAGGGGCTATCATATATCATGACAGAACTCGTGGTTTGATGACTTAAGAAAACATGCATGAAAACATGCATGTCGTCTCCCTTAATGCACCAACTCTTTGTCTATCGACAGCTGTAGCCCACCGGACTATACTCTAGAGATGGGAGGTAACTAACCAGCCAATAGAAACCTTTCGTGATGACAGAGATACCTGACTATTCTATTTAGATATAGTATTGACCGGGATATTAACCTTGCTTAATACGCACGTAAATAAACTAGGCTCGCATATAACATTTACAGCTCCAATGACTACATATACTTAATATCAATGATATCCGGTTGGCAGTAATTTGTGGATACTAGTTAAACAGCTAGAACTCTTTTTAATAGCTTAATATAATGCGGTCTACTAGTCGAGCCTATAGCTATCCAAGCTTGGGCTGGAGATTTAGGCGACGCTAAAAACCCCAATGCTACAAAGATTCAGAGACTATATGTACTAGGGTGTATGTGGAAGTAGCTAATACAACAGTAGTATTTAGTTGAGGTAGAACGTGCTTTGGAGGACGTGCAGAAGAGGACAGATTTTTCTGAATGAACTGAGTTACTGGAACTAGCGCTTTCTGGGTATGGCTAGGAGTATCCGGTAGACTGGTTCACCCTCAAAGCCTCCTGGATAAATAGATTTTCTCAGGAAAGGGCTGGATAGAACAGAATCGACTTTATCCGGCTCTTGGATCGCGGTAGTACTACTATATACCTACAACAACCAGATATATATTGAGCCATTTAATTATCTTGTTTAAACCTACCGTTAATGTGTAGCAGCTCAGCCCATAGTATTGGGGTGTTATATGCGCATCCAATGAAGATGCGCATTCTCAGGCGTTTTAATTCTGCTTATTATTCTTTAGACTGCCAGATGCTGAACATTTGCTCATTTTCATGGAGGCCGTAAACCTTGATAGAGCCAGATGAACGATTGGGCATTAGTGACAGTCGAATAGTTGATCATGAAATAAAAGACTTATTGGCGTTGCCACATTTTCTCCCTCATTGGCCACGAAGAAGGGTCGGCGCTTAGTTGGTAGTCCAGTCATATAAAAAATACCGGTACGTCTTCAGATATATATATATGTAGTTAT